CACGTTTCTCTCTGGAGCATTGTTGACGAGAGCCAAGAAGGCTGAGCAGCTTTCCAGTGAGAAAGGACAGACGGACTCTGGAAAGACAGCACATTCTCACCGTCTTCTGCCCTCCTAGGATGAGCACGCAGCCACCTCGGTCTCAGTCTTTGTCAGTTCCTAGTTCTCTGAGCTATCAGAAGACCGAGGGCACGGCTCCACAGGTCCCCGCAGGGTCCTGTGTGTGGGGTTGCCGTTGTCACCCCGGGAGCTGAGTGAGACCTCCTGGACACCCTCTGCCTTCCTCAGCTTACATCTGACATCTCCCCGACCCGCATGCGGCCACCCCACTTCCTCCGTCGCCAGCACGCCTGGCTGTTATGCTGTTAGTTTGGTTTGTTGTTTAGTCCGTTTGAGACTTGTCCCAGCAGCCCATACATGTCACGTGATGGGTACATGTCTTTCTGCTGGCGGTGGTACCCTCAGAGCACAACACGTTGGCCTGCTCAGGGTTCGGATGTTAGCATGCAAATTTCCAGGAGACTGAGTCAGCCCAAAGTATGCTTTTGTGACTTGATCACTCCCCTTGTCCCCCATCCCCAGAATTGAGTTATCTGAAGGCAAGAACTCTTTTGAGGTTGTCAGAACCTAACCCAGAGTCCAGCTCTTCCCGAACACTGGCTGCATGAATGCTCGGAGAACTCTGACCATGAAAACTGGTGCCGTGTCTCTGACTGCCAGCCGTAGAACCTGGGCCCTAGTCCAGATAAGAAGGTGGGGCCGAGAACACACAATCCAGTCAGGCCAAGATAACCTTTTGACCGAATGGCAAATGATTATGGCTTGTAACTACCCATTCGCCATGTAAAATGAGAATTGGAATACCAAAATGAGAATTGGAAGTAAAATGAGAATGGAATACCGAAAATCAGGTGAGTCATTTGAGAGCAATCTTCGAGTCTCAAAAAGCTTCAGGTGCAAGAAAGAAGAAACCTGATGCAGATAGTATTTCTTTTTCAATAACCCATCACTTTTCCCAAACCCAACTGTGCTTTAAAAAAAATTAAATATTCTCTTCAGATACTATTTTCAGTGATATGCTGAATTTTTAAAGGCCAGCCAGGCTTTAAAAACGTAACTGAGACTTCTCTGTCACTACCATTTCGGGCTTAATGTTCTGATTTGAAGAAGATCGGAA